TGACTGTGAAGTATTTTCCAGATGGACTACTTAATACTTGGAGTTTGATCTCTCATACCTACAGCCCTAAGGATTTCTGCTGGGTATAAAGGAAAGCCAGCTGCTGCAAGGTGCAAGTTCTCCATGAGATGGAAAATGAGAACCAGGGCTTGCAGCTGAGAGGGGAGGAAAGGTTTTGCAGTGAAGGCAATGGATGAGCTTTCAGTTTGGGCTTCCTGTGGGAAGGCTGTGCATGTCAGACTACAGAGTGGCTACAGATCAGCACAGATTTGCTTCCCTGAGCTCTGTGCTGCCTGGATGTAAACCACTTCTAGCTGCTGCTTAAGGCTCCTTCATTTCAACTTGTGCTTTCTAACAGATGGAGCTCGCACCTGGCCACCTTAAAGCTGAGCTTGGGCCACTTATACACTCTGTGTGAGCCCACACAGATGTGTCCTCAGGTAAACATACTCCCACTCCAGCAAATGACTGTGTGCTGCTAGAAAAGGGTAGCTACTCTCTACTGCATGCTGCACCCTGCTCCATGCATGGCTGAGGAAGCCTTCTCATGTAGAGGCATTGCAGATGATGTTCCTACAACAGTTTTGCAGGCATGGCTCAAGATTATATGTTTTAGGTCTGGGGGACTGCAGCAGCTACAGAGTTGTCCAGAGTTTGGATAACTCATACAAGTTTCCAGGGCAGGCAGGAAAGGGGAGAAGAATGAGGCCTCGTCTACCAGTGAGTCAGTGGCCACATAACCTAGTGAAAAACTTCCCTGGACCTTCTTCCTCCAGGGCGTGAGGACTAACTTTCCCCTCCAAGAGGTAGGATGCCAAATCTTGTCCTCATTTTTGCTGTACCACAGTTATTTATAAAGATTTTATTTGTGTGGCTTTGTACCATACTAATTCCAGCGTCATCTGCAACTGTACAAAACAGAACCTCTCCAAATACATACAGGAGAGAATCTGCTTTACTGGGCTTTGATTTTACTTGAGACTTTTGTGCGTTACCACCACGTCACTGTTAACAGAGAAGGGTTGACATTCAAAATGCCATTTCTGTATAATGCTGGCATTTCTATGCTATGGGATTTCTAGTATAAAATCCGTGAGTAGCTGGAGAACAATACCTGTGCCTGGAGGTGTGCTCATTAGGCCAACCAGCAGCAGGGCTACCAACTAGAATAAGCCACAGCGGATGAAGCCAGGGACTTTTTCTGTTGCGAACCAGAGAAAACTAAACCTCTGTCATGAGTTTAAGATTTTTCAGTCACCCCAACAGGTAGGAAATTGGACAATGCGAGTTCTGTGTGACAGGTTTGTCTATATGACAGGTTTGTTGCTGGACTTTGGTCTATAGCAAAGATGACAAGTGAGTGAACTAATCGCACATTTCTAGACACTCCTTGGCCACCAAATGCTCTTTCTCTTACTACATGAAGTCAGAGATAGGTCCCGTGTCAGCCATCCTGTGTGAGTCAGGGCTGATGACAGAGGAAGTGGGAGCTGTGTTTACAAGCCCTGGAGCATGCTCAGCCATGCGAGCTGCAGCTTGGCTCACTCTTTACATCTCCAAAACTATTATTATGTAATGTAGAGCTATACAGAAAGGAATTTCAGAGCCTTTTTCAAGGGGCACATGCAAAGAGACCTGGCTGCCCAGAACCCTTGAGATTGTAGAATCATAGAATCATTTTGGTTGGAAAAGACCTTTAAGATCGTCAAGTCCAACCAAAAATCTAACACTGTCAAATCCACCACTAAACCATGTCCCTAAGCGCCACATCTACACATCTTTAAAATACCTCCAGAAGTGGTGACTTCACTGCTTCTTTGGACAGCTTGTTCCAGTGCCTGACAACCCTTTCAGTGAAGAAATCTTTCCTAATATCCAATCTAAACCTCTCTTGGCATCACTTGAGGCCATTTCCTCTTGTGCTATATTGCTTGTTACTAGCAAGAAGAGACACCCACACTACAACCTCCTTTCAGGAAGTTATAGAGGGAGATAGGGTCTTCCTTCAGCCTCTTTTTTTCCAGGTTAAATATCTCCAGTTCCCTCTGATGCTTCTCATAAGACTCGTTCTTCAGACCTTTCACCAGCTTCATTGCCCTTCCCTGGACATGCTCCAGCACCTCAATGCTCTTCTTGGAGTGAGGGCCCCAAAACTGAACACAGTATTCAAGGTGTGGCCTGGCCTCACCAGTGCTGCATATCTCATGGCAAGTACTCCTACCTCTAGTATGATCAGAATGGTCCTTTCTAGCCTTAAAAATTCCCATCAACAAAGCATCCCAGGAGGGCTAGCTATCCAGCCAATGCCTTGTGCAGAGCCACTGGGCTCCAGGTGGGCACAAGACCTTCCTCCATTGGGTGGAGGACTACTGGGTGGACTACTACCCCACAGCTTTTCTCCCCTTTTGCAGGACCCAGGGTCATTTCTGGATGGGGGGCTGCAACCAAACCCAAGCCTCCAGGGGACAGGTGCTGTCGGGGCTGTATTTGCTGTGTGCAACACGAGCCCAAAGGCTGCAGCTGGGATCACTGCACCAAACACTGGAGCCAAGCTTGCCCGAGGTATTGCAAACCCTGGGAGTTTACTTGAGGTGAGGAATTTGTTCCTCACATTTTCATATTTCTCCAGATCTAGGTGTACTGAGAGATATCCCAGCACCCAGGCCTGGCCCTGGTTAATAGGGTGTAGAAAGGGGACGGGTGAGTGGGTGCCCGTCGGGTAGTATCAGCACTTTCTGTGAGCTTGTGAAATGGCTTAGGAGAAAAATCTGAGGCCACAAGCAGTTTGTAATTCAAATTTTATTGCTTTGTACAAGTGAAAAATAGGGGAAGAAGAAGAACTACAAGACTGAAAGGGAATGTGAAAGGCCGCAGGGAGAGGCCACAACTGCCACCAAAGGGTAATTTGTAGCCTGGTAGAGCAGGAAAACGTTATGACTAAGGCACAGGGTTTCCCCCCTTTTTTAAATAAATAAAAGAGCTCAAAAAAGAAAAGACAGTGAAAGCCAACTAGTGCTGACAGTCACCCTTGTCACAAATAACTACACTGAGGCTATGAAAATAAGGTAACTACCAAGTGCTTAGGCCCAAAATACCTGAAAATACTTGGAGTGGAGGTGGAGCTGCAGGAGGGAGCCCCTTTGACAAGCTTAATGTGCAAAGGTTTTAATGTAATTAAAGCCCATTTTTGATGCAAGTTTAAACAGCGTCAGCAATGCTGCATGGGCCTGTCCCTGGAACACCAGCAAGCAAAAGCATTAGCACTCTCACAGTGGGAGGGAAATGCAAGTAATAAACAGACTGCAGGGTGAGATCCCAAAAAGAGCAGTGCCCTAGCTGAGAGGCAACATTTTTCTAAAGCCTGGCTTTGGTTTACATTCCTCTAGAGAAAAAAAAAGACTCGAATAATTAAGCTGATGGATATTTTCCAAGCTGTTCAAGACACTGACAACATGTATCTTGTCCTCATCTTAATGGTAGGCACCATTATCTTAAGAAACCCCCAAACAAACAAGCACTGCATTTTTTATTCTCCTAAGTATTCTGGGAATACAAATATGTCTAGAGAATTACTGTCATGGAAGTGCAGTGCTAAAGAAGTACCTGTGCTTGAGAAGGGGATGTGCTGCGACTTGTATCACTTGCCTGTCCAAATACTGGGGTAGCTATCTGCCCCTGCTCTTTCTTTCAAGTCCTTCCCACTTCTCTTTCCTCTCCAGTAGCTAAAAATAGGTTGTGTATTTGAGGAGCAGAAATAAAACCCCCCTCCTGGCCAGACCGTGGCTTCTTTCATCCCAAAGAGGAAAACAGGCTTCAGGCTGGCGAGGTTGCTATTCTGGGTAACGCAACGTCCAGGGGAGCTGTGTTTTTCCCTTTCAGCAGGGACAGCTGATAGCTGCTGCCCCAGAAGCTGAGTTCAGCTGCCACCTTCCCCTGTGGCTCAGCAGACACAGCCCACTCAAAGGAGGAGGTGAGGAGGCCAAGGACAGGGAAACCTTGCTGGCACCGACCTCACATGGGGTGCTGCAAGACAAACAGCTGCACCAGGGGAGGCTGCTCCTGAGAGCCGGAGGAACTGCTCACAGGATTTAAGTTAAGCACAGACATAAGCTGTGTCGGTGATGAAACACCAGACACCCCGTGGAACTGCTCTTCACAAAGTGGAAATTCACTTGCCAGTCAAGGGCTAGCTCTTAGGTCTTGTGCAATAGCTAGATGTGATTGAGATGCTTGAAACATCACACTCTGCCATGGCATAGACCCCGTGGGCTGCTGAAGATTTTACGAGGGTGGATTTTGCTGCCAGGATCAACATCTATCCATGAGAAGGAAAACCAAAAGTAGCCAGCAAGACCAGTCTGGGGTCTGAATTAGGAACAGTCACTAAGTATTTCCCTCCAAAGTCTGAATTTTTCCACATAAATGGTTTTCAGAAAAAAAAAATTTGAGTCGTTTTTCTAAAATTTTATCTCAAAAAGGGTGCAGGATTCTGAAAGAAGTAGGTCACCCACAACAATGTACAATTTATGAAATTATCATTCTAAGCTGGACAAAAATGCAGATTTAATATTTCTTCTACTTTTTTCTTGGAAGAAACTAGTCTTACTTGAAAGCTATTGCCTAAACCATACTGGGCTGGTAACGCCTCTAGCTTGTGTTTGATCCAATTTGGTTTTAATTACATTAACTACTGCAAGCTTTCACACTGGCAATGCCAACATTCGCCTTTTTCTCTAGGTGAAGCTGATGAGACCATGATACTCCCATTGTGTGTCCTCCTCCTTGACCTGACATTGACTACAACAAAGCACATGGTGGCTGGGCACTTTTGCAGCACTGGGTCCATCAGAGACCCATCAGCTTCACCATCAGATCATGATTATTCAGCCTGAGCAATGCCACTATCTATGGCTCTGCAGATGGCCAAGCAGCTAGCCTGGTTCACACCAGGCATCGTTCAGGTTGTCCCTGTGCAAACTGCAATCCTCTCTCCCATTTTGTTAGGGAGACTTTGCTTCAGGAATCTGCATGCTTGGCTGCTCCACGGCCAGCTGGTTTTCAAAGACGCAGCACAGCTTGTAATTTTCTATGAGCTTGGCTTGAAAATACTCCCTGTCCTTCTTGTGCCAAATGTCTGTGGCAATGTAGGTGTTGTAGGGGTCACGGGAGCCCTCCAGCTTCCTGGCACGGATGTTGGTCAGCATGACTCCCACCGTGAAGAAGCCGAAGAGGCCAACCATCAGCAGCACGTAGATGATTTCCAGGTTGCTGCCAGCACTTCTGACCTGGGAAGGTGCAGAGCTGTTTGTCTGTTCCAGGTAGTCTTGAAGCAGCTTGGAGAGGAGAGAATTCAGGGCTGTGTCATTAGACAGCACCAACATCTTCTCTGTCCTTCACACTTCTTTCTTCCGTATTTGTAGTTTTGCTAGAAAAGCACAAAAATCAAGGACATGTCAGATAAATTATTAGATAAAGATGCAGTTATCTCTGACTCCCTTTACTGGTTCCCCTCTTTGGGCTCAGAGCAGAGGACGAGTAGCTGGCCCAGCCTGGAGGGACCTCTTCACCTCCTGTTTCCAAGCCAGGCCAGCTGGGTGGAGTCCATCCCCCGTAAATGCTGGCCTTGCAAACCCTCCTCTAACTGGCCAGTTGCAGTGTGCAGCTGCCCCAGATGTTGGTCACTCACATGATACCTCACCCAGGCCTCACATGCTGCTATTTAAAGCTCATGACTTCCCCCCCTAAGCCCCCACAGACATGAAGAATGTCTCACTCCTACTCTGTGGCAACTGTTTCTGGTTTTGAAGATTGTTGTCATGGCTTCCTTTTGTTCTCTTGCCTCTAATTTCATCTTATGGATTGGATTTGGAAACAAAACCTTTGTAGCTGAAATCACTCAGTACCTGTAGCAAGCTCCTCCTGGCCACCCCTGTTGAGGAATCTTGCCTTTCTTCTTCAGCTCTCATCATGATACACATCATGGAAAAATGAGGAACTGAACATCTGACAGAAATGTATTCCACAATAATTTAATGCAACTTCCCAATGGGCACTTGCCCAAGGAGTGAATACAGAGGGAGTCTGTAGCTACTGCCTATCCAGTGGTGGAAAGAAAAAGCATCTCCCTTCGTCCTTCCTCCTATGGACTGGCAGTTCTACCCTGGTAGTTCACTGCTTTGTCCTCCAAACTAAATTGCTATGCAACTGGTGCTTTATTGTCTGGTCAGGAGAATGTCCACTGGCATCACTGCAGGTCAGGAATAGGGCAGGAGATGGTAACACCAAGTATAGCCAAAGCCTCCCAGCCATGGCACTCTGCATTGACGAGTCTTACGCGAGAAGCCGAAAGGTCCTTTTCCCCTTCCCAATGTCAGCTGTAAATCACTTAGGAAGAGCAATCTGATCAGTACTGCAGCCCCAAAGCCTCAGCAGCCAGGTAACATGACTGACAATCTCACTACAATGCCTAATTTAATTGACTCTAGAAAATTAAAACAACAGCCTCCCTCTGTTTTTGCCCTTAGCACATCTGAATGGGGTACTGTTATTCAAGGTGACTTCTGTGACAGCAATCTTGTAATCGTGTAAGATGGCTGTCAGTGCTTTCTACAGCCTTAAATCTGTGAGAGCAGGCAAGCCTGTTAGCAAAAGCTTCTCCAGCACACTCACCTTTTGTTGTTGTCATTTTTAAAAAGAGGTATTATGTTACAAGAATCTATAATACATCAAGAATTAAATGAACCCTTGGGCAGAAAGCGACCAAAAGGCCTGGGCAGCAATTACACCCCTCTGTGAGGGGGACATTAATGATGCATAGATGTGCAGGACCTCTGCACAGAGGGGAGTTTAGCTGTGCACGCAGCCTCCAGCTGCTGGTAATGACACTGTAGTAGACGAGATGTATCTGGAGGCTTCTTTGAATTGTCTGCACCTCATTATGGCCTAAATGCTGAGAAAGGAGATGCTGAGACAGAGGAAAGGAGGACACTGGTCTCATGACCTGCTGTGGCTTATATGAAGAACAGTGGTTTACTCTGTGCCAGCACGTGCTGTTGTGGATTAATAAAATGAATGCAGACACGAATATGAACAAACACTCCCATAATTCATTGCTCCTGCAACTGCATGTGCTGATTTTTTCTGCTAACCCTTCTGCTAGATCTCCCAGGTGGTCGGTCATGGATTTGGGGCAAGGTGTCACCAGAAGTCAGAAGCTCAGCTCAGGGTGGTATATTCTATGGAGAAAGCCCTGTTCTCATCACCATGCGATCCTGGGTGACTCAAGTGGCACCAGCCCACACTAGATGACATCAGGCTCCTTCCCCTGGTGAGTGGGTGACCACTGTGAGCCCAGGTCAGGTTCCCGGGGGAGCTCAGCCTCACTCTGCTCCAAGCAAACAGTTCCTGCCACCAGGTGACTTGCCAGCAGGAAAAATGAGCACCCATGAGAGTATGCCTTGGTATTTTGGCTTTAAATAGAGCTGAGCCTGGGGGTGGCAGAGGGAGACAAAAATCCCCTGTACAAAACCAATATTCTGATCCAATTCATTTCTTCAGTTGCGTGAGTCAAAGCTACAGGAAATAACATCTTGGCAGTTTGGGCTTAATAGTTAAAATCTATTCACATTTCACAGCTGTGTTCAAATCCTTTAAGAAGGAAGGAAAAGAAAAAGAAGTTTAAACCTTTATCTGAGATTACTCCTCCTAAGTGTGTGGAACGTGTCGACACTGTAAATTCTAAAACCATTTGCAAATCACGGCAATAACTTTTAGACAAAATATAAAGAGGCATTTCACTGGATCTCTCCACTTTCTCCGGAAAGACAGGCAATCATTTCTCATAATAATCATCAATAGCACTGACAACATTTCTGGTGCTGATGAATTGACACTCTGAGGCTGAATATCTTCAGCTGCCTCCCTATATTCTTTTGGGAGGCTTCTGAGGGTTGCAAGGTGTTGTCCACTTCTGGGCTGCTTGCACACCAGCTGGGCTGGAAGCCACCAGGGAGATAACTGGCCCCATCTCCCTGACTGCATCAAGCAGCATTAACAGGAAAGGTTAAGGGAGAGAGAGGTCAGACTGCTGTTCCTCAGGAAATCTCCAGAGCTCTCAACAAGCCTGAAGGCCTCATCTGCCACTGCACAAGCCTTGTGCAACTCCACCAAAATCCATACTGGGACCAGTTTAAAGCTGGAGTACACAGGGCTGGGAAGAACCACCTGTGTCACTGGCCTACTCCATGACTGATGGTCTGTCTTGGAGTCACTGTCCCAAGAACTGTTTTGACCATAACCAGAGTGGTTTTCTGCACCCTGCTACTCTCTACAGATGACTGCTGATGGGCTGCAAATTGCAGCCACTGCCCCGGTCCCCTCTTGGGGCCCTCCTGAGGGGCTATGAGTGAAAACATACCCAGCCCAAAGTCAGAATACCAGTTAACCTGGGTTGCATCCTGGAAAGCTAGGACCTTGCCTGGGATGGTGGTCCCCACCCTACTCCAGCCGACTGGAGGCTTCAGTGTGTGCTGGGGGGTCACCCTTCCTCTGTCTATTTTGAGGGGGCAAGCACTGAGAAGTCAACCGCCTGTATTAAAAATCACCTGGGGCAAAACTTAACTCTTCAGCAACTTTTTCACTGGCCAGGGATTCAGAGGAAATTCCCTAAGGTTGGCAGCAGGCTGGGCCACATCCTGCTCTCAGGTGCATTGCTGCTTCTCCATCCATTACACTAAATACAGGTGACATAGATCTCCAAAGCAAAAGTGATTGGTTTGGTGCAGGTTGTTTCCCAACACATGGGTTCATTGCCCAAGCTCATCTTCCATCATGTGTCAACAATGACCTGAACTGCTGCCCTGCTGGCCATGGTCTGTTGTGCTGTGCAGCACCACTGCAGGTGGCCCTTGCTCACTGAGCCTTATCCCTTTCTTTTCTGCTACCTGCTGCTGCTCTTTCTCATGCCATGGATTTCTCATGGGAGTTGGAGAAGGACTTCCTCTGACTGTTGTCTTCACAGAGAGAGTGGATTTAGGATGACAGGCAAGATGCCACAGGCAGTTTTCCAAAGTTGGGGATGGGTACAGCCTACAGTTTCTACAGTCAGTAGCAGGGGGGAAAGGATCTGAAGGCAGCTTAACCAACCCTTCCAAAGCATTTTAAAATACTGCTCAGTACCAAACAGGTTCTTAGCAGGTGTAAAGTCATGCATTTGATCTAACTTCAGTGAAGGTCCTAGATAGTGTTTACTTTCTCAGTCTGCTGGCCCGAATTTCTTGGGTTGCCCTTTACCTGGACACTGCTCTATGCATGATTTCCCCTAGGTGAGCTGTTTCTTGCAGTGGGGAAATGCCAATGGTAGTGAAAAAACCCAACCCAAACCCACCATCCCCTTCCCTCATACCTCAAAGGCCCCTGCATAGAGAAGACTGAGTCATACTCTACTTACTCCCAAGCACGCCAGAGTCTGTTCACACTGCTCAACCCCTCAACACCTCCCACCTCCCCTAAAGAAATACCTGCTGCTCCCCCAAATCTCCATGGCTTGGGCAAGAGCCATGGGGCAGAGCTGAGGGAAAGAAGACCCACTAGAGACTGAAAGCTGCTGTTTTGAAGGAAAAATGACAAATAAACAAAACTCTGGTGGCCACTTTGTTCATGGTAGTATCTTCTCTCAGGGGTGGAAGGAAAACTGGCGCAGCACCAACCCTTAGAGCCACCTCCTGAAGTAGAGGGCTGGGGGGCCTCTGACAGGGGCATCTGTCAAGGTTGCAATTTAACAGTTAACAGCAGAAATCAGACAAGAAAGCTTTAAGCCATCACTGCCCTGTGCTTTAAAAAGACTGCACATGATGGAGCTCTGTGACAGCCAAGACCAGTAACTCCTGGAGCTACGAGGCAGAGCACACTGTGGGACTGAGGGATGGAGATGCATGGACAAGTGTGGATAAGGCTCCACGTGTATCATGTCTATCTGCTATCTCAGAAACTGTCCCTGGACATGGCTAATGCCATGTCACTTCAGTATGACCATGCAACAACAGACCAACTCTTAATCTCTTGAACACCCAAATGCTTACAGCTGTGGAGTGCTAGAGCTGCAAAATGCAAGTCCATGAGACTGCCGGCCTGATGTGGATTCTGGCCTGTGTTTGAGCCTGTAGAGAGGCCACACTGAGCCACTGAAGAGCACACTGTGCTTGCCCAGGTGCTGAGGAAGAAACACCCACTGCTGCGGGGAAGACAGGAGTGTGATGTGGATACCACTACAGAGCTGTAAATTGATGCTTGAGTTCAAATAGAGAGATCTGCAGCCGCAGAGATCTGGCATGGACTGTAACTTCTGTCTACATTATAAATATCAGAACTGACTCGCACCTGG